CGTATAAGTAAGTCACGAATCTTTCTAGCTTTCCCTCGCTGTTTATTATTTTCTCGGATACTAGATAATTTCCCGAAACTGTTTTCTTTCGGTGCAGATTACATCCCTGTGGATGTAATTTTTTCACATCTCACGGTGCGCAGATATGAGCGCAAATCAATAGCCTACGCGCGAAATTTTTTACGCATTTCGCAATGTTCTCGCGTGTTTCGAGAAAATACCGGAGACACGTGTGTCAGCGGGGAAGGGGGGAGGGAGGGGAGAAAAAAAAATGATTTTTTTAGAGCGCGAACCCGGAATGGCGCCGGCGGTCCGGTTTAATCTCGACACGCCCATTACACACGACGTACATATTACATCACGATCGCACTCGATAGCAAGCGTATCTATACGAGCCCTATTCCCCTGTGCCTACCTACGATACGTGTAAGCCGCAATTAAAATTCAAGAAAAATTCTCGGAAACCTGTTTCGAGAACGAGCGAAATATTTCGCTGCGGGGTGGTCACGCAGGAACGCCAGTCGCACGGATGATCTCGTTTAATTGCCCTCAGCCCTTAAACATTTTCCCTCGAGATTTTTGTCGTCCATCATATTTGATATTCTCTACCATCATGGCCAATTATTCCGCGCAAGAATTGGATATTTCAACACCTTCTTAGGAGTAGGCTTGTGGCCAAAACAACTTTAATTATAATGCACAATGTATATAACTTATAACTAATATACCTGATTTTATCTTTATTATTTTATTTTATCAGATCAGTATTCGTAATCGGTTCTTATATTTAAGACCGTCTTAAGTATAGTGTTAAGACTATAATCCAATCACGGAATCATATTAACGTATTAAGATATTACTTAAGGCTATTTTAAAATAAGAACGGAATATGAATAGGTCATAAAATCTAGTCAAACTAAAATTTATGATTATAAAAGAAAAGAATTTAATAAATGTTATGTATATATATATATATAATGCATTTTTATAATTTTATAATAATTATTAATAAATGTACATGAAAACAAGATTGATATTCTTATTTACTCACGATAAATCTTAATAATTTTGTATATTGATTAAAATTATTTATTACCTATATAATATGGCTCGACAATAATGTGACAAATGTAGTCAATATTTAGTGAGCATATCTGCATATATAAGGTGTAATTTGCGCAATATTAGAAACATTCCTAGCATGCCGTATTGCGGTGGCAATTTTCACTCGTTGCTAATCTTACAATCAGTAATCGATAAAGTCGTCACACCACGCCAGCCAAGTTCCCAGGAAACAATATCACTTATCTTACCATTTTTACACTTCGCTGATAATTTTTTTTTTTTTTTTTTTACCTATTGCATCGGAACGTTTCGCGTTCGCGAGTAAGCCTATCGATTACGCGCGACGTTAGCGAGAGAGAGGAAATTTCTTCGTGGAAGTCATTTTCTAGCGTGAGTATCTTGATACTAGGAAAATGTTGCGCAAGTAAAAAAAAAAAATGGCGACGTGGTGGTACGCCCGTGTGTAGGACTCTGGGTATTGTTGCGATTTCGTGAAATGGCGTGCATGCGGCACGAGAGCGTGGTCACGAAAGAGCCGCGTTCTCGGGGGACCACCATTTTGAAAGATGCTGCATCCTGCGGAGCGTGCAGCCCACGCAAACCCACGGCCGACGAAGAAAACTCACACCACTGCAACCACCCACGTCCCAATCTCATTGGTCGAAGAGTCCTCATCCATAGGATACCACACCACCCACGGACCCAGTCCATTATCAGGTTTGTACAGGACGTCCGTGAATTCGAGCCGATAGAATATTACCTCGTTTGCTTCAAAGAAGCAAGAATTGCTGAAATATATTATTGATAATAATTTAGAAGCCAAAGAGAGTCTTAACTAAATCCTCGTTAACGGTTTAATCGAAAAAATTGCTGATTAATATAAATCGTTTTAATTTTTGAAATATGTATGTGTCTTATTTTGATTGAATGCTTATGTTATGTATATGTTTTTACTACGTAGGATGTAAAATTCTAATAGGAAAGAAATATACATTAAATATTTTTTTTTATTAGTTACGAAAATTTATTTAAGTAACTGCCGAAAGTTTCCGATCAATGAATAATTTTATTGTATTGATCGATAAAAAAATCTTCGCAAATAAAGACCTATTGTACTTTTATAAGATATTTCAGCATATAAAATATTACATTTCTAAATTGTATATAACAAGAATATAATTGAGACTTATAAACAGATTGACAGAAATGATTGTAAGATGGCCGGAAAGTTTTGGCAACCATTGTACCTCCCTCTTATCACTGTCTTTTAAATATTAAAGAAACAAATATCAAAGTTATTATAAACGCATGCATACTGCAATCTACAATAAATAGAATTGTCTAAATTTCGCTCAACAAGCTGAACTAAGCTACCACTTGTGTCGAAAGTGTTCGAAAGCCAAGTCGAGAACGGTATATCGAATTGAAGACAAAACACGTTTCGCCGGGTGGATAGGAAGGTGAACCCCGGCGAGTCTCAACACGAGAGTTCGCGGCTTCCCCTTCGCTGTTCGGATTACGGTGGGTTAGGCTAGGGCTAGATTATCTCAGTGACGGTAAGTATAGGTTGGATCGGCAGTTCTAGCCATCCCGCGGCCATACCAGGAGCATTGCTTCTCCGAACACGTAAGTCCGCCGCGCTCGCCGAGCGCGCCGAGCCACGCGATAATTCATGAGACTTTATGCGCACCTTGTGTAATGCCAGCTCCATCGGCTTTTTCTTGGCCTTCGCTGTATCCTGAGAAAGGGGGAAGGGCAGGGAGCGAGCAAAACCTTCGGATCATTGGCTTCGTTTAAGCGTGAGGTTTTTCAAAAAAAATTAAAAGAACACTCGAAACATTAGCCAAGAGTTAAAACGTAGAAAGGATATTTGAGGTTTTCCTGTTTGCGTAATTGTATTTTTTTTACTAATTCACTGAGTAAATCGCTTCATTATTGAAGTAGATCTTGCGTCATGCAAATTAAATCAGTGAGAAATATACGATGGTTGAAGTAATCCTGGATTTGTAACTTATTTTCTGAAATTAAACGTAAGTGTAATTTTATATATATCATCTTCCCCATCTCTCAAAAAGTGTCGATTTCTTTTACATTGAATAAGTAACTCGCAATTATTCCGAAGTTTCTGAAGTGACTATTAAAGTTCATTAGCCGGCGCCCTAGCGAGAGATTCCGAACCATTTAAGATCGAATCTATAATTAAATGATATTTATAAACAGCTGCAATTAAGCGTTTAAATATTATTTTCCAAATTAATATAATTCATAATGAATTGTCGAAGTGATAATCAGCTGGATAATCTAATCATTTCTTTTCTGCAAAAAAAAATTTACTCTAAAAACAATAACATCGGATTAAACGAAAGGATAGAGGAGAATAAGACAAGACAAAGAAAGGGGAGTTTAAGTACTCGCGGGAGCTCTAACATTACTCTGTAACGGTGAGATAATTTTTCCTCTGATTACCGGCGCGAGCAATATTTCAATTAGTTGTCAATTTAGTTGTCGGCGCCTGACGGACATATACGTATGCCAGGGTATACCGCGGCCGGGAATAATTAACAATAAATTATCCGGGGGAGCTATCATTACGCCGACTAATCGCGGCAAATTGACCGTTATATTATTAAGCAGCTTGTGGACGCTAATTGCGTGCCGCGTGCGAATCCTCTTCAGAGACTGCGACGCCTGGCGAGAAAGGGGATCGTCGCAAATAACCTAGATGAATAATTGAGAGTCGTGTATGATCGCGTTCGGGATTGTAAATTATGCAAATTGTTTCGACGGAGTTAAATTGTTACAAGAAGAAGCGCTGAGGTGATAAAAGGATCAAACACATTCTAATATCTGTGCTTGCAACTATTTCTCAGAATCTTATCTTGGATGTTACAGAATGATTCGTTATTGTAAGACTAGAGTTAATGAACTGTATGATGTCTTTGATATATCCGTATATAAGCATTTTTATTATACTATATAATTAAATAATTATCACAATACAATTAAATTAATTTTTTCATTTTAACAAATATTTTTATATATCAGATTTTAACTTAAGTAAAATATTATTTTACAAATTGTTATACGGTAGTAAATAATAGTATGTAAAAAAAATATTTGATTTATAAAATTTTTTTTGAAAAAATCTATGTGCAAATTAAAATTAAACTAAATAAAGTTGTTAATTTTAGAACTGATCAATACTTTTCCTGAAAGTAAAAGAACAAATGTTTCCACTTGATCCTTGCAGAGGCCGCCACATTGCGTGAATGCGGTTACAATCTGTGTGATACAACACAAGATGGCGTAGTTAGTATCGCCAAGTGTGTACATAACAAGTCGTTTATTGACTATAATTTCACCAAGTATACAAGCGGCGAAAATATATCGATACATATATTTTAAATCCTGAAATAAAATCATATAATAGTAAATATAAAGCGGTATTGATATTGCGCAATTATATATAACTTAAAATAAAGAATAAAAGTTATACTTTCTTTCTTTTTAAGAAATACAATGCTATGAACGAGCTGTACATATTTTAAAACTGCAAAATGAAACTAAAATAAAAAAATACAAATATAATCACAGTTAAGATAAAAGTCAACATATATCTAGTTATATTTATTTTAAAATAAAAATTAAAACTCTTTTGTAAAACATAACATAAGTCATGGAAGAGTTTTACGAT